TGGGCCATGGTCCGTTGAAAATCCGGGAAAACCTGTAAAAGTCGATAATCTGCATGCAAATTCGGATAAACCGTCAACCACCAAAGGTTTTCGATAGGGTTAAGGTCAGGGGAACGAGCTGGCCACTCCATAACCTTGATATCGTTGGCTTCAAACCATTCCTTTGTTTCCCGGCTAGCGTGAATGGAAGCGTTGTCTTGCTGGAACGTGAAATCTGGGCCGTAATGCTCGTGTGCAAAGGGCAACATGAAGTCGGAGAGTGTCACGGTGTAGTCATAGCTCTTTTGTTTACCTTCCAAAATCTACAACTCGGAGAGGCCCTTTGCAGAAATGGCTCCCCACACCATGACAGATCCACCACCAAACTGGCGCCTCGAGAAGACTTGCTCATCATGCTCCAAGTGATGCCAGTAGCTCTGCCAGCCATCAGGACCATCAAAATTGAACTTCTTTTCATCCAAAAAGATGATAGAATTCCAATGTTGATGCTTCGTAATGGCTTGCGAAGCAAACTGGAGTCTTGCCTCACGGTGGAGTTTTGTCAATGTTGGTTGTCCAAGGCGCTTCTTGAACCAAAACATTGGATGGCCTTGAAGGAGCGCTGGGACACATCACATTGATATGGGAAGGTCCAGACAGGTTTTGAGCTTGCGGCATGACAATTTGCCTTTGGTAGCTCACGAAACAGCAGTCGTTTAGCCGTGGGTGAAATTTTGCTAGGTCTACCTGAGAACTTTGCGGTCCCATCCTTGTTCGTGTTGGCAAGATAATTGCGAACGACGGAGCGGGAACGACCAATCTCGACTCCAATAGCGCCAGGGGCCCATCCAGCAGTATAAAATGCAAGAACTTGATCTTGTTCGACCTCTGTGAGCTTGGTCGCGCGTCCCATGTTCTTTGGCGTTAAGTAGGAATCTTCGCCGTCTTGGCAGCTCAAGAGCAGTCCAAAAGTGTTTATTGCAAGTTTTCAAATGAAAAGCATTGATATTCATCGTCATTCTAGACGGAATTGGCGAAGTGGTCTATCATTTTTCGCGACATTTTTTGCACTTTACTCCTCGTAAGCTTAAGGATTTTAATTGGATGAAAATCGTATGATTTCTCTCTGCCTGATTGGACCGAAATGACCAGGTGGTCTATCTTTTCGGCGAGCACTGTACTTCAATACCAAGTCGGAAACTCATTCATTTTAACCAATTGCAGAGTAGATACAATTGGAACTGTGATTGACTGGCAAAATT